ATGGATACATTTCTTACCATTACTTCATTTGTACTTCTTTTCTGTAAGAACAAAGGGCGATGGATTCACATTAAAAAATAATAAGGCTGCACTAAGCTCTTAATTTCCACTGCATGTTTATGTAGTTATTGGTTTACCAGCAGATATATCTTTAAAAATAGTGTGATCTGTGTTATGTTGAAGTTGAGCTGTTATGACGCAGTATCAGAAACTGAATTTTAGCAGTGATTAAAAACTAATGAGATGTTTTCATTAATACAAAGAGACTATGTGTGAATAGTTTTCCAAGTACCTGCAGTGATCTGGCAGCTCCTCTTCTTTCCTGAAATACACACACAGGATATTACGGAGATTACACGAAGTAAGTTTTAAGAAAAAGCTTACAAAAAACTCAGACACAGTTGGTGTTTAAGGGTTTTGGGTTAAAAAAAAAAAATCATAGAACTACTTTCTGAAGTCAGCGCTGTCAAAATCATGCCACAAAGTTATTTCAGTTTCATATCACAAAAGTGTTTGACGTTACCTGTATGGCTTCATCGTGCCTGGAGATGACCAGAGCTCCTGAGGCTGAGCTGCTCAGCCAGAGGCAGGCGCAGCCCCACAGCAGCAGCAGGCGAACACCCAACAGTCCAGACATGACCAAACTCTGACTGAACACTGGCTGACTTCAGTGCAGAGCAAAACTCTCAGTGTCCTGTGGGAGGGACACGTATCTGTGTGTTTTCCTATATTGGTCAGCTGCCCTGAGCTCAATGTCCAGGAGGCTGTGAGGTGGCTGTGAACCGCAAAGATAATATTTGCTAGTTTGTGGATGTTTGGGAGAGTGAATCCAATCGACACTTATTTAAAGACTTAGCAAAGTGACAATAAAATCGACACCAACTGTTTCAAGAAAGTAATCCAAAAAAGTTGATTCTGTTCATCTGGACGTAACGTTTTCAGTGGGAGAAACGTTTCATCACTCATTCAAGTGACTTCTTCAGTCACAGCTGACTGCAGGTTTGTCCAGCCATATAAACAGTACCTTTACACAATGACTCAAACGAGGCCACTAAATGAACAATGGGCTGTGAGGTCAGTTCCTTGATTATTAATATGCAAATTGTCATGACCATTGATCAACAAACACTTTTCAAAGACCATTGATCAAAGACTACAGATTAACGGGCAAGAGTACCATTCACAGAAAGCTGGAGAATGGCTGCAATCACAGCATTGTGAGATGGGGAAAGATGTCTCTAAATCCTTTAGGTTTCTTGGCTGCCGCCTGGAAACTCGAAACTTTATTTTTTACAGGCCTGAGGTCTGGAGACTGGCTAGGTCACTCCAAGATCTTCCACATCTCGTCTTCATTGTTTTGGCTGAAGGAAGGAGGTTCTTGTGTGGGACTTTACTTTACAGTCTTTTTATGCTCTTGGAATTAAAAAGTGAAGACCTGTCAGAAACTACAAGAGGCTTTTTATCATTTCTCATCATCAGCATTTATGTAAAGATGTGTTTGTCATTTAGCCCAGAAACATAAGTAGACATAATCTCCGCAGACAGTAAAGTAGATTTTTGTCTGCTTATTTGTTGTGTTGCAATTTTGGCGAACAACTATTGATGTTGGCTCTTCTCTATTCCAGACCTAGCCAGATCTGGTAACTCATTTTGTGGCACTATGCTGACCAACCCCCACATTTCTATTTGTTCACTAGTTAGGGATCAGCGTTTAAAATACAACAAATGAACATTTATTTTTTTGATACTTAGGGAAGGCCTCTGAAAATCTAGAGATTTGTTAACACATAACTTTAAAAGAAAGAGCTTTACAGTCCTGTACAATAATAGAACATCAGGATTTATCACACATTTGTATTTTGGTGCAGATGTGCACATTTGCATTAAAAAACATTTGTTCGAAAGTGATTTTTTTTTTTTTTACTTTTACAATAATTGGATTACAATAAGCAGATTATAATATGTTGAAATAAAAGTCTTAAGGTTGCTTGTCACAGTGAGAGTTTATTTAGGAAAATGCTGAACACAAGTAAAAAAACAAACATTTTTTTCACAATATATAATCATAGCAATGAACCACATTCATCTGTCTTCAATTAATCTTTCTTACATTTTTCATTAAAGCAGGAAGAAGCACACACTTAAAAGTCTCTGAGTCTGAAGCACAAAGCCAACAGTGTGCATGTTCATCCTGTGCTATTTGTTTGGTTTCAGGTTGCAGTGTGCTTCACTTGCTGAACACACTGGCTCCAGGAGCTTTGGCAGATGTGGGCTGGTCAAGCACGGTCTCCTTTCCTGTCCTCACACCACTGAACACAGATGGAGCAACTTTGCCCGCGCGTTCTGATCACAGAACGAGACAGAGACACAAGACACATGTCAGAAAAACACTCTCTATTTGTGGCACTTCCTCGATTCATAGTTGAGAATTTGACATTCAAATTTTTAATCAGGCACTTCTTAGTACCAGGCACCAACCCCAAAGGAATACTAATCATTCAACGTCATGTCCAAGTAAGCTGCTATTAAAACTATATCAGACTATGAGGTGTTTGGAGTGTGGACATCTAGTACACTTATATGGATGTGTATGTGTGCAATGTTCGTGAGATAGTGCTGTCGTAGGACTTTTTTTTCTGTATTTACTTCTTCATAGAGTCCAATGTCAATGTTTGAAGAAGCTATAAAATGTCCCTCCACTCACTCCGACAGAAACCATTGGTGATTTATTATCAAGAAAACTACACGAAACACGGGGAACTCATCGTCGGTGTGTCCTTTAAAAGTGATACATGTTTTCGTAGGTTCAGCTCTCCCTGGTGGTCTAGTGGTTAGGATTCGGCGCTCTCACCGCCGCGGCCCGGGTTCGATTCCCGGTCAGGGAACTCGTTTTTTTTTCCCCTCTCTCTCTCTTTTAAACAATCGGACACGAATACAACACAAAGTCAACTAGTCTGTTTTTACGAGATATACATAGTCATGTTTACGGTCTATGCGCCCATGAGTTCATACTTGTTATTCCAGGAAGACATAATGCCTTTGCAGACAGCAAAGACTTTACTCACCACACTCCACCATGACCTCATAGGTCTTACTCTTAACCTCGCCCTTCAGTCCCAGTTTACTGCGGGCTCCTTTGAGGTCCTCTTCCTTCATCGGTGGGCGCTTCTTTTTTACCTCGCCTGGCTACAGTAAAGAAAATAAGGGCAAATAAAACGTATGTGACTCTCTGGTTAAGCGTGGATTCATTGTGTATTCATTTGCTGTATGTGAGGTGATGTAACGTACCTGTGACATGGCTGTTAGTGTTGGTGCTCTGATCCCGCAGACAGTGTAATTGATTTGTTGGTTGTTATTCTGTTGTGTGTGTGTGTCTGTCCCCCAGACATTATATATAGTCCTGTGTCAGCCTGCAGTGAGTCAGTCAGGCCCCCCCTGCCATCGGTTCCACTGCCTGTTGTCACAGTGTATTATTAGGTGTGACGTGAAGGATAGTACAGCTGGAATGGGGTTAATGATAAGCTTACAGGCCAACAGCTGACAATTTCAAGACACAACAGGAGTGGCAGAAGGCTACACCTCCTCCTCCGGTTAACCCTGCACTCACATCCTCTTTTGAAAATGTCTCTGTAGAGCTTTGCACTTTGGACTACATTAAACTAGTGATCACCACCCAGCAGTACCGCCTTGTAGAGCCAGTTCTTGGGAATCTGCTTACTCAGTTCAATAACTTGATTTAGGCAAGAGGATGTTTCTTGTTGGGATGTCATAAAAAGCATTTTCAGCCAGTTAACCATCAAAATAAGGGCTGGACCAGTAAGAGCCGCCCAAATGTCAATCTGGACCAGTTGTGTTTTCAGTACGCATTCTCTGCCAAATCTGTTCGTATGGACCATTAGGACTTAATATCATGTTACTTTATGCACTCGATCCGGATTGTTTTAAATGCGTTTACACTTTTCTTTTTAGCCTGGAACAAGTAAGCAAACAGTTTAGGCAATATTACTCATTAGACTTGGCATCAGTGTTTAAATTCAAGGTGTGAGCTGTGGGATCATGGAAACACCGACTCATCACTGTTTTAACTCAGTGACACACAGTAAGACTCGTTACTGTTTGTATGTGATTGTTACCCACTTAGAGCAGTCAAAGCAGTTATAGGACTTTTAGCCATCATTTGGATTACCCGTTTGTGCAGATGATGATTATGATGATTATTAAGACTTTTCCCAGTGCGATGTTTAGAGCATCTCATTACGCATGTATGTTTATGCTGGCCCGTTAAATATATCCTTCACCCTTAAACAACTGGCTTGGAGCTCCATCATCAGCATTTAAAACCACAACACTTAAAATATCAAACGCAACAAATTATATGTTTTTGAGCAGAACATGGTACTTACAGTAAAAGTAATAAATAGACAAAAAGTCTTAGACAAAGAGACAAAAGGTGCCTTTTAAATTAAGCTGTTGATCCAACATGTCGTGAACTGTAAAGAGCCCCTAAGAATGGCTCCTGGTGCTTAATTACTGCATGTGTATTTGCTGAAAGCAGATCTATTTCTGGGAACACAATCATTACCGGTCGACTCTGATAAGGAAAGCGTTACCCCTAGTGGTAAACAGCAAGCAATCCCCACAATTAAAGAGATGCTGAAATCATCACCGTGTTGTAATTTTGTTGTATAAACATGGCTTTAAAAAAACAAAACAAAATAAATGCAGATATCAATGAATATCTTTGAATCTCACTTTTATAAAATAAATACAAAGTTTAAAAGTCAAGGTATGAAAAACAGTTTTGGGATGAACATCATCCCCCTTTGTTTTTTTTAACATAAATGCGTTTACACATTTTATGACGTCACACCGTGGTCCCTTTCAATCCCTGGTGGTCTAGTGGTTAGGATTCGGCGCTCTCACCGCCGCGGCCCGGGTTCGATTCCCGGTCAGGGAACACCTTTTCTCTGCCACAACAGAAAGGTAATCCACTACTTTCATTCTGTATCATACCGTTTATTTGGAAAGCATTTATATGATAACTTATTTCCATCAGATGTTGTTCATGAAGTAGATTAAGCTCTGCAAAATACTAAAGCCCTCTTTGTCCTAGTTCAGCTGACAGTTACCATGACTTCTGCACTGTCCCGTACTTTCCCCTTTTTAAAAACACACAGTCTTTCCTTCTTTACCAACATGCCAAAAACATCAGAATGAAATCATCAGCAGCACCGTAATCATTGTAGTTTAAGTCACGCCTTTTACTTTAAACAGGACCAGCAGTCACACATATATTCAGGACATGCCAGTTTATATACACACACTAGTGTGTGTGTGTTAAATCACACACACAAGCACACCCTTTCTCTCAGCTGCCTGGTCTGCACTTACTGTTTACAGTTTAGAGGTCTATGTACGTCACATTCTTAAGATTAGAGCCTGCTGGATGGTGCTTCATGCCTGAGGGGTGTACTGCAAAGTGAGATTAGTGGTTTAGAAAACTATGTTGAGCATAAACTCAGAGTTTTGTGTCACTAATGTGACTCCATTACTGGACAGGAGCAGGTTATGTTCTGAGTTTCAGTTTAAAAATTAGCAGAAGTCTCACATTTTCACTTACAGCATGTGTTAAGCGCAATGTAGATGCTATGCTAGGGGAATGTATTTCATTTGTGCAAGTTGTTAAGCTGTATCTTAATAAACCACTGAATGAAGTTCCACATTTTTACTGGAATGTGCATGTACTAATAAGATGATACTAACACAAAGAAAGCCTGGCTGTGTTAAAACTGTCTTCGTAGTATACCCCTCTGGAGATCTCGAGCTCTGCTTAAAACAGTCAAAGAAAACAAAACCGAACCAAAACCAAAAATAAAAAGATTGCTGGTAATTTAACTCAGGCACATTGTTGGAACTACAAAACAAAAACACAACAATAACAAAGGAAAAAAACAAAACAAAAAAACCCCACACATTAGAACGGGGAAAGGCAAAAGCTGAGAAAAATGGGAAATTGTGCAAGAACCTGTTCCCATATTTACTGAAAAAACACTTTTGGGATGAGCATACTCACCTTTTTTGGCCCGAAAGTAAAACACTCAAAACTTAAAAAAAAAAAAAAAAAAAAAGTACATTCAAGGACTAAAACATACAGTCAGAGCACATCAGTAAAAGAGTCAGACATGTTGCAGTCGTTTGCTTACAGAAAAAACAGTGGCTGAGCTGACATTAGAAGGATGCTGCAGTGCAGCGCTTGCAGTCTTACAGGTTCAACAGTTCAAAAGAGACTTCAGATGTCTTTGTTAAAAGAAATGGAAGATTGCTGCAAGGATTAATGTGCTCCATTCGACTAATGTAACATCACGTACAAGATATACGGTAGAGTCAATACAGTGATTCAAAACCTGACATAATGCTCCTGTTAAAGTTAAAGGGTGTGCAATTGTACACACCGTCACAGACACACGTATAACACAGGCCATGGTGGGGCATCTACATGTGACGACAACAGGACAGATGTTAACGTGGAATGAACACAAGGAATACATCTTTTTTTTTTTTTGTTTGCTCATTTTTGTTTGTTTGTTTTGGGGGGAGGAGGGTGCACTTCGGAAGGATATCAAATGTAACCCAGTACATCATATTTGGCTCTGCTGGAGCCAGTTCAGTTTTCCTATTACATTAAGGATTTAACAGTAACTTCACTCATTGTTTTTCCCAGTGTCCTGAAACACAACACTCACATCATGAGAGCCATGTTTAAAATAAACAATGATAAAAAAATAAAAAAAAAACAAAGGAAAGAAAAATGGTCGACTGCTAAAAAAAAAGTTCATATAGCTGTCCTCCAGGAGCCAATGGTAAAGGAGCTTCAGATACAGTGTATTATTTTGTAATTGAAGGTCACTGATTGAAGGCAATATCACACAATCTGTAGGGGAACGGGGAAATGTACGCAGACTTTTTGATCCTAACAGTAAAGCTAGGCACGCAGGTCAGACAGGGATCCCCATGCGAAGCTTCTTCTTTTTCACCATCTTCACACCAGTGAGTCGACGGACATCGTCTTCATCAGACTCATCCATTTCGTCATCTGCAGAGAAAAGGATCTGAGGAAAACGAAGGAGAGACAGAGATATATCAAACCTCAAAGGTTAGACGAGGTTAACGGTTACATTTAAAAACAAACAAACAAACAAACAAACAAACAAAAACAAGAAGAAAAAAAAAGATCCACGATGACTGCCATCATCATTATCATGTTGACTCCCAGGTGCACTGTTTACTCTAAAGTGCTTGATCACACAATGGGGATAAACACAGAAATATTTCTTTTTATATTTGCCCTCCAGATGTTTTAGAGCCCGTTCCCATAAAAGCACAATCATATTCCAATCTAGCCAATCTAGGGGGGGGCAGAGTAAAGCACATAAACCTAACAAAGAAGACCTCCCACATAAAACTCGAGCTCCCAAATGAGCATAATACGAAAGCATGATAGCATAATTTTATATTGTCTAATATTCTCACTAAGAAAAAAAAGAAGAAAAAAAAAACAGTGGGAATGACTGTTTTATTTTACAAACTAACAAAATCTAAAGTAATAGCACAACTTAATACATGAAAAGATCACAAGCCAGCGAGGAGTCGAATTAAAGTTTCACTTAACAACTGTTTAAAAAGCCAATACATGTCTGCATCATTTCATAATCAACCCCTGCTAATTTTGTATTTTAACATGTGGAAAAGGAAACAAAAAAAAGAAAGACTTTACTGAGTACTACCGTCAATGTAACCCCAGAAAGAAAAAAGAAAAGTTCCGAGCCAGCCAGGAGTCGAACCTAGAATCTTCTGATCCGTAGTCAGACGCGTTATCCATTGCGCCACTGGCCCCATGGTTCAACCACTGTGGCCCATCCCCCACAGTTGTGCCCTGGGTGCAAGGTCCACGTGTAGCAGCAACACTTTCTCGGAAAGGGAAGCTAAACTGCACTGCTGTGACCTTTCATGCTTTCAAAATCCATTTGATATTGTTTCACAATGTAAACACATCCTAACAGAAGCTGGAGTAAACACTACTTCACAAATAAATAGGAGGGAAAAGATGACTGCGTTAAAGGGGACAAGAAACGCTAGACATTAACAGCCAATTAATTAAAACTCATTGTTGCAGCAAAGACAGCACAAATGTGATCCCCTTAAACTGATTTTTGGTTTTAGTGTCTTTATTTTCCTCTGAGTTATTGATTCTGTTACATCCATGTCAGTGGTTGAGAGCAGTGCTCTATCGTGTAAATTAGCCTTTATATGTGCAGTGTTTCAGGTCCCCTTTAAGGAGAGTTGTTGTGTTTTTCATAAAGAGGAATTTGGAGAGTGATTAAATACTGGACTTATGCTCAATATTGTGGTCACAAAATGCCCTAAAATCTCTCCACAGAAAAGGTTACAAACTCCTGAATCTCTATAAGCTAGTCATTGTAGCTTTATTTAACGAAGTTATGCTGTAATTTTACTATAGCGTTAAGTAGGTCAGAGAAAATGTATTCATAGTATGACTGTTCTCATCTTATGCAAGAATAACAATAATTGCTTCTATTATTTCAACCAAATCAAAGCAACCCAGAAAATAAAACATATACGAGCCAGCCAGGAGTCGAACCTAGAATCTTCTGATCCGTAGTCAGACGCGTTATCCATTGCGCCACTGGCCCGCAGTGGAATGCAGTGCCTCCCTACAGGAATACATGCGTTTTACTACAGCTCAGCCCATCCCCCACAGTCTATTGCTCTGCTGACTGCATGTGGTATTCAACAGCAACACACAAGAAGAAGGAAGTAACACAAAGCTTGCGTTTGTCAACGCTGCATGACTGCTACAGTGTTCAAATGCCTCAAAAGTAAGCCTGATATTGCTTTGAGATTGAACATACATACATCAAATATATACAAATCTGTAACACTGCACATGAACTTATAAACAACCACCAATTTTACAGGCTAAAAATCATTTCAGTCAAAGGATAATAATATGTGTATTGATTTCTGAGTCCTTGCTAAGATAACATGAAAATAATAATACGCATTTATACTCTGCCCTACTCTACTTGGACCAGCCGGTTGTTGACTTTGTGGCATGTTTCCAACAGCAAAGTTGCTGAGTGCCCTCTGATGAACAAACATTGCAAAGACTATTTCTCCCATGTATCCTTTACTTTACTTTTTAAATTTTAATCTAACAACTGTTTAAAAATGCTACACCCTGTCTGGATCATTTCATTTTCCTAATCAACACCTGCTAAGGAAACAAGAACACTGCCCCCCCCTTCAAAAAAAAAACAAAAAAAAAAAAAAAACTTCCAGCAAGGGACAACAGTCACTGAGTACTACTGTCAATCTAACACCAAAAGGAAAAAAAAAAAAAAAAAAAAAAAAAAAAAAAAAAAAAAAAAAAAAGCTACGAGCCAGCCAGGAGTCGAACCTAGAATCTTCTGATCCGTAGTCAGACGCGTTATCCATTGCGCCACTGGCCCGCTGCAGAACGAAGGAGCCGCCTACACAAATACGTGTGTGTCCACAACTCTGTGGTATGGTAACAGCATGTGCATAACAGTATAAAATTCCAGAAAATCTAGGGACTATCTCATCAACTTTATTTATAAAGCACTTTAAAACAACCACAGCTGACACAAAGTGCTGTACATTGGAACTGTAAAATAAAATTACATGACATATAAATAAAGAACAAATAAAAGAAGAGTGAAATCATTAATTAAATAACTACTTCAATTAAAAGAGAAACTAAGTCTCACTGAGGTTAAAAGCCAAGGAATAAAAGTGGGTTTTAAGACGTGATTTAAAAGTGGACAGTGAAGGGGCCTCTCTAACATGCATGGGCAAATTATTCCATAATTTTGGAGCCACAATAGAGAAGACCCTGTCCCCTCTGAGCTTCCTCCTGGATCTCGGTACCTCCAGGAGCAGCTGGTCAGCTGACCTGAGAGACCGACAGGGTATTGTGGGTATGTGGGGATGAAGAAGCTCAGAGAGGTAAGGCGGGGCAAGACTGTGAAGGCATTTAAAAACAAACATAAGAATTTTAAAATTAACTCTAAAAGACACAGGCAGCCAGTGCAGAGAGGCCAGCACGGGGGTTATATGCTCTCTTTTTCGAGTTCCTGTTAGGAGTCGTGCAGCCGCATTTTGAACCAGCTGCAGACGTGAGAGCAATGACTGACTGACCCACACATAAAGTGAGTTACAGTAGTCCAGGCGGGAAGAAATAAAAGCATGGATCACTGTTTCAAGGTGCTGCCTCGAAAGAAAAGATTTTACTCTTGCCAGTCGCCTTAAATGATAAAAACTGGACTTCACCACTGCTCTGATTTGGTTGTCCAATTTAAAATCACTGTCCAACTTAAAACCAAGGTCAGTAACAACAGATTTAAAATAGACTTCCAGGGATCCTAAAACAACAGAGGAGGACTCACAGGGACCACTGGGTCCAAACACCAACACTTCTGTCTTCTTTTCATTAAAATTTAAAAAGTTTAGAGCCAACCAAGCTTTAATGTCATCTAGACATGTCAAGAGAGGTTTTATGGAGATGCCATCCTATCTGTCCTAACATTTGAAAAATGTTATTGAATGAATGATGAATGAATACTGTGTGTGTGTGGAGAAGAGATATGTAAACACTAGTTTACCAGCTATAAAGTAAACCACTAGTTAGAGGACCACAGTAGCACTGAAACATTTACTGTGTAAATGTCCTGAACAAAAAAATCATTATACACACTTTATTGTACTCTGTTGCTTCCATATATGACTTATTGTCTGGAAATATGGGGTAATGCATATAAAACGAACACTCTTCCTATTTTCAAGTTACAAAAAAGAGCTATAAGAATTATAAACCAATCAAACTATATAGAACCAACTAACATTTTGTTTATTAATCTGAATACCCAGAAATTTTATGATTTAGTTGAATATAAAATGGCACAGATAATGTATAAAGCACAAAATAACTTGCTTTGCCCCAGTACTCAAAAGCCGTTCAAAGTCAGAGAGAGTCAATATGACTTAAGGGGAACAGATTTCTTTAAAAAAAACAAGATAAGGACAAATATAAAGCAGGGATGTGTTTCTGTTAGAGGAGTTAACCTGTGGAATAGTTATGACAGTGATTTTAAAAAGGTGTAGTTCATTTTCCTTGTTTAAAAGTAGAGTATTAGAAAAAAAAAAAAAAAAAAAATAATATATATATATATATATATATATATATAGAATGAAAAGAGCAAAAAAAACAAAAACAAAAACCAAACTCTTGATTCTTTTGCTTTGATGTAGTTACTTATCTTGTTTGTTTTGTTTTTGCTTTGTTTTATTCTTTGCTTCGAGCCCTGTGTACAGGAGCTGCATGCAAAAAGATCTTTTGTTAAAAGGGTTGGGGTAATAAGCAAATGCTTCAGCCAATACCTTTTGATTAGCCTTGTCTCATGCTTTCTTGCTTTGTGGTAATCTTTATTATGTCTTCACTGAGATATTTGAATGCTAATCAATAAAAATCAAATCAATCAAATCAAAAAATGCGATGTACCACTTTTTATTAGGTTTGAGCTCAAAAGAAGATTACTGGGTTAAAAAAAAGAGAGACAGAGAGACACAGATGGACTGAAGAAATGAAAATGGTATGTGTCAGTTGAATCTGTCTCCTTTAGCATTAGCTTTCCAGTTAAACTTACCTCTGACTCCGAGTCATCATGGGAAAGAGCTCTTCTGTATCGCACCTTGCCGTTCCCCCGTGAGTCCTCTTCCCTCTCTTCAAGCTTTGCTTTTGTCCTATGCTTCTTCATTAAGAAATTATCTACTACCCAGAACATTAGGGCCTACGTGACACAGAAAATACAGGTGGATGATTTTTCTACAGAACTGATTCAAACGGTTTTTAAAAATCCACCAAAACTAGAGAAACAGCTTTTACCTTTGTGTGCATGCAATACAATGGGCACTGATGATTTTGGTAACCAATGACAATGTCTCACTGCACGTTAGTGACACAATATTATCGCAGTACTTCACTCACTTCATTCATGTAATTGTGACTTGTAACATTTTTTGATTTGTTGAGTAACATACATTGTGATTTATCACATTGTTTCAACTACAAACTAGGTCCTCAAATTAAACAATTTTTCTTCCACCCCTGCTAGACATGTAATATTGGTTTTGCAGGAGATGTAAAATTCAGACAAAAAAGAGAAGAAAGATAAGATAAGGGCAGACTTACATTTACGAAGAACGGAACGATGAGCATAACGATGGCCAGTTCCAGGGCAGGATTGTGTATAGGCTTGAGGAGTGCCAGCTGCCACACAAACAAACACAACAAGCACAAATATAATGTTGCACTTAGTGACAGCATTAACTTTTGATGGTTAAACATGCAGCCCATAATATTATTGTACAATGACAATATTATAGTCTTAAATGGGGTCGGGACGGGTCTGTCATATTCAAGCGAAATATAAGCAAATATAAGCAAATGTGCGGCATTTAAGAAAACAAGCTGAATGGAAAACAGCTGCTGCAAATACAAAGGAAAGAAAGAGGAAAGCTGGCAAATCTGCAGACTGTATAGTATGCATAGATAGGCATCAATGAGGCATCATCCCTGTGCTGTAAATCGCGGTTACTACAATTACAGCAGTATTACCGTTAAATTAACGTGTTGCAGATAAACAACCTTTTATTTCTATTTATTTATTTTTTTTAGCTGTAACCCCGTGGTTTTAGACCATTATTTCACGCACAGACTAAAATGAAAATTACTGTTACTTTAACCGGACACAAAACCACAGAACTACTAAATTTTTTTTAAATAAAAGAGGCGAAGACGCCAAAAGATGCTCTCCCACCTTGGATGTGCTCTGCTAGCTAGCACGTTAACGCTGCTGTTATTCGGTGAAATCTGGAGGAGAGGCCACATTTTTACCTCACTGCCGTAACGACACTTTACTCTGAAGGCTTTTTTTTTTTCTTTCCCGACAAGAAGAACTTTTCTATCATGTATAGAAGTTGTCAACGACCGACGCTCATAGTGAGACGAGGGAAAGGCGGATCCCGCACGTAATTTGCGTAGCTTACGTAGTCACCGCATGGCCTGAGGTGCGTTCATCCCCCCCCCAACACTGAGGTCTCAAATAATCAGTGCGCCACAATTGCTAAAGTACAGCACAACAAACTGTTTTGGGCATGAAAAAAACTGTCTTTGGAGGCCCAGTGGTTAGGAATTAATGCTTTCAGTGCCCCTGGGTCAAGTCCAGCAGGGGAATGAATGCAATAGTTTCTCAATTAAATGCAAGCTGCACCCTGGGCCAGGAACAACTGCTGCTCACACCACACAGACTCTGAAAACATCTGCAGAGCCAACAAAGGTAGTACTGAAGAACCCAGAGTGAAGTTAAACCCGAGTGTACACTAACCCCAGTCAAACTGCCAGAGGCTGACCTTCAGCAGGTAACAAACACAGTGATGGATTACAGACTCTTTTTCTAATGCTGCAATATTAAAATCACAGTTAAGTGCTCTTTGGACAACTTGCTTGGCTGTTAGCTTTGTGCTCATACTGAAACACCCAAAGAAAGATGCTGTGTGTCCTCATCATTTGTGAGATTAATTTAATTATTAAATGGTAATTATGTAAGTGTATATCTCAATGTGAAAGTAAAACTGTTAGTAGCATAACAAAATACCTTCTCCAGGGAATACTTAAAAATATAAATCATTACTTACAAATGCTTTTGAGTAATGACTCAGAAAATGCTGTTTAAGTGTGCCTTATTGTATACACAGTGATGTAGGACCAAGGTTATTATTGTTAAATATAACTAAATAAAACCTGAAACTATATAAATATAAAAACTACACATTTGAAAAAACTAAACTAAAATATAGCACAAAATTTGTATTTGTTGGATTGGTAAAAAAAAATTAAATTAAAAGTTGCTTCATGAGGTTTAATATATTATTTACTGAGACTTGATGTCGACAACACTGAGTCAACTGCTTTCAAAAAGTGTTGTTTTTTTTTTTTAAATATCTGTACTGATTTTTGTAGATCTTACCACTGATATATGCCCTCCAAACAATAATTAATAAAGACTAAGACTGAAATTAACATGAATTAAACTAAAACATTTCCAAAAAACTAAACTGAAACTCTGGAAACTAGCTGAACCTAAACTAAATTGTAGAAATTACAAAAATATAATAACTCTCTATAACCATGCTTTACTGTATTTACACAAGTTCTCTGGGCATCATCTTTGTGTACTAAACTTCCCAAATTACTCCTAAACAAACTAGCACAACACCCACCAAAACGTTCAGGTGTAGAAAACAAGACCAGAGCAGCATGCCGAGTGAGAGGCAGGGCTGACCCGTGTAAAGTGAATTTACCTCGCATGTATAGTATGATCATGTACGAAAAACACACTCTTCTACTGACCTGCTTCCACTGGGGGATGAGGAGGACCAACATGATAAGGACTTTCTCAAACATCATGATGAGAATGTAGAGGATACACTGCCCCAGCCACGCTGTGCACTGCACTGGCTCTCCTGGGGAGACAGATGATTGTCTAAAACCATGATTATGTATTTCACATATACACACACATACACACACACACACACACACACACACACACACACACACACACACACACACACACACACATATATATAGTACAAAAATATTAGATGTCACTGCTTTGGTGTTACATAATTGCCAACAGAACAAAGTAAAGCATTGAAAGGGTAGGAAATGGCACTGAAGCGCTATAATAGCAAGGGCAGCTACTGCCCTCCACTGGACATCACAGGCACTGTCCTCACCGTATTCTCCAAAACGCAGGGAGTCCCATTGCCTCCATTCTACAATAGCACTGACGGCTCTTACCCCTGCATAGATCAGCAACATGCCCAGAGAAGCATCTAACAAGAAATTAATGAGGTATCTGGAGGGAAAATGGAAAATTAATGTGAACTGAGTGTCTACAAAGTTAAATTATCTTCATTTTAAAAAGATTACTCTGATTTATCAGAGACATCCAAATACTCACAATGAGCAGGGATCCTCCTCTGTGAGGTCCGACAAATAGACATTAGCAAAGTGGATGAAGAGCATCCCAATTGCCTGTTTTGAGGTGTCCAGAAACCTGCACATACACGATTACGTTACTTCCAAGGCACTCCAGTGGGTCTCATGCGGTTTCTTTGCATAGAAATTAATTTAGCGCTGGCTCGATTCCCTTACCAGATCTTCCAGGGTCTCCTCTCATGTTTGGGCTCCCTGAAGCGCTTCACTGTAGAGGAAAGAGAGTGCCACACAGATAGTGGGATTTTGCAAACAGAGTTGCACACATTCAAACATTCTCTCTTGTTTTCATTAAACAAAGTTACCCAACCCTCCTCTGAGCCATCAAACCTCCAGTGAGCATTTTATTGCTTTCGTATATGAATACCGGTTTATTCTAAGACTCTTGCTGTCGTTGCCCTGATATCAGTCAATTAAGTGAACAAGCGAGAAATCAAAGAGTTTCTAATCAAGCTGACATGAAACTATTAGCTATGAGAGTTTAAGTGAAAGGGAATGGATGCTTCTTTCAAAATGTCGCAAAGGGAGAGAATCAATAAATCAGTGTTAGAAGGAAAACTGTTCATCTAGTCTGCCCAATTTAAAGATACATGAAATAAAGTGGTACAAATTAAGCTATTAGTGAACTGTTTGCTAAGCACTCCTGCTGGGTAACAAACACTAAAGCCACTGTATGTGTGCATCGGTGTGACTGTTATTCTGGGAAGCAATCTGCTTCACTCAAGTCTTTGCTTTATGGCTCCATCATGGAAAGTGGACATCAAACTACCTCACTTTTGTAAACTTAAACTAAATGTTGTTGTTGCTCTGTCCAAATATATACTGAGGGCTGCTTTTTACGGAAAACGATGAGCTCAGTTTGTGCTCCGAACGAGTGTGACTTCATAACCAACACACCCCACTTACAGCTGGGTGTGATGTGAAGGCAGACAGAGGCCTCTGCTTCCTCCTTCTGCCCAGAAAAAAAAAACAAAAAAAAAACTACTCACTGCTGCGAGGCTGCTGAGCCACATAAAACTAAGGCTTCTCTCATTAGGTCACACAGCTGCCCGTTTGGTGCCAGACACTGGCTGAACCCAATCTTCTGTGCCAGCGTTTCCTTGTCTGTGTTTATGGACATTTGCCTGCCAATTTCTAATGTAAAGCTACCTTAGCCTGAGGTGTAAAAAGAAAAGTTTTACAGTCTGTCCACATGGAGAAGTAAAAGAAGACGAGCTTAATGACAACAAGCAACTAGAGACAATCTAGCGAACAGTCTCATGCTGCAGTAGGTGTCACCAAGATGACATTTAGCCATCACGAGACAAGGACAGCCAAAGAAAAAAGAAAAACTAGATATAGTGTTGCACTACAATCTATGTTGACTACATAAGACAGCATGTTTGATAAGGTTTACTACATGTTTTGTGTGTGTGTGTGTGTGTGTGTGTGTGTGTGTGTGTGTGTGTGTGTGTGTGTGTGTGTGTGTGTGTGTGTGTGTGTGTGATGCATTTATAAAACTTTTCAGGTGTGTAGCTGAGATCAAACTAAACGTCCAGTCTGAAGAGGTGAAGTGAACCATGAGTGCTCAGTAAAGGACACTAAAAGAAGGCAATCAATGGGGTTGTCCTGCCATTTCATACCCATGCCCCACATTTTAAGTATTACATTACTGTAAGTATTATTTCAGTATTTCTAACTCCCAGTATGAGAGCTCTCTGAGTTATAAAGACATTTATACTTCGGTGCGCTCTTAACATCAGACCCATTAGGAAGGACCCTCATCATGAAATTAAATACAATGCTCATTATGAATGCAACCTTGAAACAAGATTGGTTCAGGTCTGGGTTAATGATGACTGCCACCGGTTTGTGTTGACCAGGAAGGTGCTGTTAGAAACTATGCTACTGCTGCAGACAAATGAGAGGAATGTTGTTGGACTCTGCACCATTGCACATATTATTGTCTGTGTCATGTTGCAATTGTGCGTCTGTTCTGTTTACATTGAGAGCTTATGTCAATAAAGCTAATTCTGATTGTGATTCTGAGGTCGTGAGAAGAACAGAGAATGTTTACAGATGTAGAGAAGAGGGACATGCACAGAGGCGAGTTAAAGGGTGAGACAGAGGCAGGTGATCCAGTGTGGCAACCCCTAAACAACTGAAAGAAGTAGTGTTTTGAAAACTCAGTGATACTTCAGTTTTCAAATCCTATTTAAGATGGTCTCTCTAAATAATAAATAAATAAATAAATAAATAAAATAATAATAATAATAAGATGATTTCTACTTCTGAAATCCATATATGCTAGTTGAGACAAAGAAACCTCATTAGTAGCTGTTACTGTGAAGCACCTACAGGATATATAGAGTGACCATCACTTGAGATACAGCACTTTATTTAAAAAACATATTCTGAAACTACTTAGGACAGTTTTCTATCTGCACATCACCCAATCAAAAGAAAGCAACATTTTATATCTTTCTTCCCCACTGCGATTGCTTCCTCAACTGACTGCCAAGCAGAAATGTGAAAACTACAGCAACATCCAAACAAAGTCATTTTCATTTATTTTTGCAAAGTTCAGCAGTATATGGAGTACATGCAGCATGAGAGGTCAAATGTGCCAGGAAATGCAGAGAGGAAGTTTTTTTTTTTTTTTTTTTTAATGATCAACACAGCCAAAAAAGCCCCAACAAGTGACTAATTGGTATGCTGTTACAGTGAAGTGAAACCCCTGCATTTAGATTTACACGTATTAATGTCGTTTGTCTGGCTCTGTATAGATTTACCTCAACCCTCCCAGCTGAAATCAATATCACATTTGATTATCAGAGTGTTGCTATTGGATGATACCCGCTTACATCAGCAGCTGGTGTCAGATATCTGACACTGCAGAGCATTAGCCATACTTACACATGAGCGTGCTGAAAGCCATCACAGCGAGAAGACCTTGCAGGAAGATCCCAAAGGAGTCCATCAAGGCGCCGTTCTCGCACCCCCGGTTATTGGGATCTGGTGTCGGTGTAGAAGACACCGATGTATTGGTAAGAGACACCGCGGGCATCCCTGCTCCTCCTGGACCAGCCAGTGCCACCTCTCCGTGCTGGGACAGCATGTTGACCCCGCTTGCTGCAGCCATGGGACAGAAGATCTGGACGTGACTAATTAATAAAGTGAAGAAAAGCAGCAGCAGCCGCTCGGACCCAGTTCTGTTGCGAAGTTGCCGGTCAGCTAATCGATACGCTAAGCAGGACAGTCTTCGGTGAAAGATGGTGACATCCTCTCCATTGAAAGCTCGCACTCATTCTCCTGCTTCAGGCATCCATAGCTTCTTTGTCACTGGACAAGTGAAGCCGTCGGCGCTGGAAGTTGCAACGACGTATAGCGTGGTCCCAACTGAGCCGTGTACACAGTTTAAAACGGCAATGCAACACTAAAAAAAAAAAAGAAGCTAGTTTAAAGGTACACGCACACAGTGGAGCAAACACTTCCTAGGTCGACCTGGAATCTTCTAATCTGGGAACATCAGCAACAAACATAAGCCCGGCTAAACAGCAAGTGTTTAACGCGTTATACGGACATGTCAGCCACTCGGAGGTAAATTTCAATTGATGGGGAAACCGTCCACCGTCTAGCGACTGAGGTGCTGCTATCGTTATCTACCTAGCTAGCCTCGGAGCGAACTACTGAGTTCAGTTAAGCAAAAGCTTTCAGACAAAGTTATACTTCCTGTAAGGTTTAAAACGGCGCATGTACCGGCATCTCGTGACAGTCGCGCACAATACCAGCTTGTCTGTTTAAAAAGTACAGAAAAATAAATGTGAATAACTGCAGGTCACAGCTCCCGTCTCTTATCCAGCTGCTTCCCCTGCCCAGCAGTGCCCACTCATGTTGACAGACGCTGGGTCACGTGGCGCGCACGTAGCCACAAAGTGCATGCCGGGAAAGGAGGAACAAACACGAGCCGCATAAAAAGTGTTGTTCAGCTTTTATTGCAGTGTTGTCTTTAAATAGCAGTGATAATAATCTTCAAACGAGGCCTGTGCTATTGTTCTGAGCACAAGGGAACTACGAGAAAATTAGTAAACACATAAACATCACACAAACTGAAGAACGTTACATCAAATCGCACGACACGGACTGAAAAAAACGAGGGGAGAAACGACTTACAAAAGCATGTTAAGAGTATCATCTTGCTTTAAAACTGCTAATTTCATTTAGCATTAGCAATTAAAATAACCCATTGCTGTTAAAAATGTTTTTATCAACTGTAGCTAAACTGACTCGCATCATATACCCAATATTGCAAAGTTTAGACCTATTCTGTGCAAATATATCATGTTGTTTGGGCATTTACACATATGCACAAAGACGATTTTTTTTCCCCCTTTCAAATCACCCTGTTGCACTAGAAGATATTTGAATATGTACACTATATACAGACATGCACGTGTCATAATTGCATACCACCATGTAGTGCATGGTTTTGCTTGTGCTTGCAGTACAAAATCATTTCACATATTGAGACTTAAACCAGAGAGCCATAGTCTCTTAAGATCAAGACCCCATTTTACATTAAACATACAAATTTGGCATAAAGTATTCCATCTTAAAACTAGCAACGGATCTTGATATACATGTTGCATGTTTAAAATAAAATCTAATGCAGTCCCTGCAATGACTCAAACTATCGCTTCACAACTGGGCAGCAGACTCTTTGCATCGTCTAGTTTGATTTCTGAAGAAACGATTACTCTTTTTCTTTAACTAATACACCGAAATACATTTTTGAAGACACTTTAAATATTCTCCACAGAAGTCACCAGATCAGAAGGCAGTTAATCTCACTTATTACTTAGTGAGATTATTACTTACTTATCCCATAGTATTACAATTTAAAAGCTTTGATCCTGTGGTATTGCCCTAAGCGGACTGCAAAGTATGATTAAATAGAACAAGAGTTCTAGAAGTGGCGCTAAGTCACTTTTTAAGTGGGTAAGAAAAGGGGGAAAAAAACAAAAAAAAACAAAAACAAAACAGGTTCACAACACTCTGAAGATACAAATTAGTCAAACAGCATTAATTAAAATAGATACAGAAACCAAGCTCTTTTCTTTTTTAAACCTAAAGCAAGTCCTTGGTGATGGTTTATTTTGATGTCAAAATATGTTGAATTTAAGGAATTTATACTTATGTGTCTTTACATTTATTTGTGCCATCAAAGAGCCACAAGTTCCTTCCTTTGGGTCTTCTACTTTCTCAGCTGTCTTTCCCCCTCCCCAAGGATCAAGAAATGTTGCTTCGTCTATCATGTCCACGCAGGTTGTGGAATAGGAAGGATTCTAAATGAGGTCCAGTGTTAGGGGGGAACCCCACCCCCCTAAAAAAAACAAAACAACCCATTGATTTTGAATGGATTAACACACAGAACAGGGTGCAGTCACATCCCACATCTGGTCCCCCGTCAGCTACGTAGCAAACTGCTGATAAAATGCCAGCTTGACCCGCTCGATGTGGTGGCACAGCTTGATGGCCGGTCCCAGCTTCAGGTCCATACACTCTTGCACTGTCGGGAGGTTCAGCAGCAGCAGCGCCTGTCCGTCAATCTCCTGCCAACACACGAGTTCATGTGAGATGCATTCTATATATAGCTTGTTTTTGGGTTAACACACGAGAAATGTTAAAATGTTTCAATTTCTAACCATGGATACAGTACAAGTGTATATATACACACTTATTGCACTGAAGCAGAGTGAGCTCTTATCCCTAATGGCCACGGCCATTAAGTCTGAGTATTTTTCATACCTGATCCAAGAAAATCCTCGCAAGAGGCGCACAGTCAGTGGTCCTGATAAAACGAACCACATCAGTAACGCTCCACTCCAGGGGGCTGGTATCCAAACACAGTTTCTGAGGAGGCTCAGCTTTTGGCGTCTACAAACACATAGACAGTGTGAGTCAGACAGACTGAGATTTCCCTGCCAAAGACGAAAGGCTCGCAGCTCATTTTAACCCTTGCAATTGATGCTGAGATGGGTAGCAGACCTAAACCTTTCATTAAAGAAATAATAGCTGTGTAAAAGCAGTAAAAGGTCACAGTCAAACAGCCATTGGAGACATTTTTGTTTCTTTCAAGCAGCATAATGGGACAGACCGTAATGCGGCAGAAACACCTTTTAAAATGTTACTAAAATGGAAATGTTAGAAAGCACAAGACATTTATTTAGAGTGCAACTGGAGGGGCAGAGCGCAGAACAAGTGGAAAATCTTTGTGAACCTGCTGAGTATTAATTACAGATACACTGCTTGGAAACATAATTAGAAATATTGCAAAGCTCCTCTCTGTAATTGTCATCACCTTTGGTGAAGGGGGGCGGTTCTCATCATCAGAGAACGAGGGGGAGCGGGGTTTCCGGCGTCTGCGTGTCGGCCTGGGAGTCGCCGGCGGGGAAGGGGACGGTGTGGTGGGCTGAGATTTCCCAATTGACTGCTCTGAATCATCCTGGAGATCGTCCTGCATCTCAGAGCCAGAGTCTTCACTCAGGGAGTCATCCTCATCTAAATCTTCCTCCTCCCCACTGCCCTGTGAGCAAAAGGATGACAAGCGGTCACTTCACACAGTTCGTTTAACCTAAAGCTTAATGCAGAAGTAACATGAGTTCTGGGGTACCTGTGGAGAGCCGGCAGGTGTGTTGTCAACGGAAGCTGATGAGCGTCTCTTTTTATGGACAAAGAGCTGCTTCCTCCTCTTCCTCCTCCGCCCCCTTCTTTTCACTCCAGCATCCAGATTAGTTTGGCCTCCAGGTGGACGACCAACACGTTTACTCTTCTTCTTTCCATAGTAATATGCTGATGGTAAAACAACAAACCTGTTGTGTCATTATCATGTTGCATCTGGCATGTCTTATAGACTTGAATACACCACTGAAACAGATGGATATTAATCTGACTCTAATGCTTGTATTCTTAAACGCTCTCTATAAGAAAAGCACTGATAAACAGGCTGTTCAGTAGGTCTGAATGAGATGAAAAAAGAGAAAGCATAATCATTTGTCTGTTGCTATTGAATTGCATCAGTTAACCACAACACTGTGATGCAGCTGCAGTAAACATATCAGCAAATCTGTGGCTTTGTGCTTCAAAAAAAAGAAAAAAAAAGAAAAAAGTTTTACACAAGATCAAAGAGGCCAACCCTGACACCAATTTTCTACCAACTCTGTGTGCTCACTGAATACCCGCTAAGCCAAAAGGTTATTGCAAAATAAATAAATAAATTTCTCAGAATATTCATATTCAAGGCACAGATCATTTCTATTCACGAGCTACACAAATGAACTGAAGGTGAATAAGCTTTGGGCAAAATGAGAACAAGTTATGGAGCCATGAGAGCACCATAAAAAAAGAAAATTGTAAAAGGAAAAAAAATATTCAGAAATTACCAAAAATAAAAAATAAAAAAAATTTATATAAAAATAAAAATATATCACTTAATTAAAATCTCTAAATACCTACATTTCCATATACAAGTTTTTATATATATATATATATATATATATATATATATATATATATATATATATATATATATATATATATATATATTTATATATATATATAAAAAAAACAAAACAAAACAAAACACATTTGCAAAAACAAACTGCCCCAAGAGATGGCAGACAAAAGAGGAGGAGACATGCACAGAACACACAATAATATTATTTTGGAGTGCAAAACCTCTTTAGTAGACAACTATGGAGCTCCACACATAACAAACAGATAATGAAAAGTAACATTAATCCTATTAAATTTAATATATGCGTTCTGAGACTTCTACAATTTTCAAAACATTAATTTCTAGCAATTATGTCATGGTTGGGGCTTTAGAGGTTTACACGTGCCACCACAATGCTGAGCATGTATTACAAATATTGGTTGGAAATGTTAGACATTCCGTATCACGTCTGCAATGGCGTTCCTTTTCCTGATGAACACCACTGTATTCACAGTCTTTCAAATGCCAAATGCTGTCAGTTACAGAAACACGTTCTACTGGATTTCCACTGTATCACTGCATGATCTGAGTCTTTTATTAGCCGGGTAATGTCCAGATTGCACATATACTTTCTAATTCAATTAGAAATCTGTTGAGTTTTCTAATTGCATCTCAAAGAGTTTATAACAGCTGATCAACAAATACAAAGATTTCTAAGATATTATACATGAATATCAGAGGTTGTTTATATTGCCTCTCTAGCTATTTAAACAAACACTTCAGATGAAATGAGAAATAATTTTAAGTCTCAATGACCTGTTTGCCACCTACTGTATTTGGTCTTGGTGAGGACAGAGCAGTTCTCTGAGCAGTGCTCCAGAACCATGCGAGGTCCAAACAGGTTCGGGCAGCACTCTAACTTAATGCAGGTTTTCCTGCAGAAGTCTGCCACACGGTCTGCAGTACGGACTATTTCCACGGTGGCCCGGTAGCTCTTTCCCTTGTACCTGATGTTTAAAGAAAAGCAATGGTAAATGTGACTAATTTTCCACAAAGTGCTGGGCTGGAAAAAAAGTTTCAGTTACTCAAAACCAAAACCGCTTCGATATGTAATCTAACAAGATCTCGCCTTACAGAAACCTAGATGCTATCATCTTATTCACCACTTTACTGAAGTATTAGTGGGTTGCCCCTGATTCTGGTGTGAATACACCCATGTCTGTACCTATTTGTGCTTTAAGTACACTTTTAAACCAGCTTGTTCTGTCAAATATGCCAGCTGGAAGTACTTGTTCTATTCCTACAGGTTCTTCTGAAGAACTGAGTATTTTGAGTGAAGAATTAAATGACGCGTCTCCTCACTTTGCTTTGAGTGTCTCTCCATGGCCCTGCCAGCGGCTCTCCTGGTCCAGCTGCAGCTCTCTCAGCACACGGCTGGGCTTGTAGGCCGAGTTTATCAGCAGAGTCAATACCTGGAGACGAGATGAAAACGATGAAAAGAATTTGTTATTTTATACTTTAGTAGCACTATGTGTTTTCTCTTAACATCAAAAATCCCTAATCAGCCTGAGACAAGATTTTTGCTGTACAGTATAACATTGTGTTGTTAACTAATAGGCATAATTTCACTAGTTTCTGAGGAAACACAACGAGCTGAACA